GACATCTCCTCTGATGATGAGCGCTAGTGTCGTGGTAGCAACATGCTATGTGTTTACATCCATCGCCGCCATGTTTGTAATGACTTATCATGAGAACAAACGTATTCACGTGACTTTAATAACATTTCTTACTTAATGGAAACACTGCAGTTGTGAAACTGTTTTTTCAACATTAACAGAATATCGACAAAGTTTTGTGCACATTTGTAATGGAAACACAGCTATTGGCCAGCTGCTGTTTGTCTTTTTTAGTATCTGTTAAAAGACAAGCTGCTGCATTCTGGACAGTCTGTGAGCAATGCAAAGATGATTTATCTAAACAAGCATGCAGAGTTACAATCATCCAAAAGAGAGGTAATAAAATCATGAATCTCTTTTTAAGGTCTTTATTGGGGAGATATGATTGAACTCTGACTTCTGCTGTTTCTCCTGTTGTAAACATGTTTTCTGAAACAGGTCTGGGTTCTTTGACTTGCAGGTGCCGATCATCATCCCTGTGGTGTTCTGTTTGACATGTTTCTTCATGGTCTTCCTGTCTCTGTACTCGGACCCCATCAACACCGGCATTGGATTTGCCATCTCCCTCACTGGTGTTCCTGCTTATTACATCTTTATTTACTTCAACAACTTCCAACCGAAGTGGCTTCGAAAGACTTTAGGTAAGTCGTTGTACAGAATAGAGATTATAAAACTGCTGGATTTTTTTTTTTTTTTGAGAAATATTAGATGAAATATTTTATTTGTTGTTTGATGATTATGCAGATTTCTTTACTCCCGTATAAATCCTTCCTTTATCTTAAAGAACGCTCTCAGATCACGATACCTTTGTTACAAAAAACTGGTGAATCCTTTCATGCTTTCAATGACAGCACCTCGTGTTCCTGCCTCAAGCTGAAATAATTAGAAACATGTAATGACTCGTATTTCTTCAGAGTAGTTAGTCCTGTAACAGTAAATGTCTCGTACCTCATGATACCAGCAATTATCACACCATCTTTGAAACGTAAACCGTCTGAAGCTGATGTTCGTTCAGATCTTTTTTCTCATCACTTGTTTTGTCTTCGGCCCAGTCCCAGTGCTCAGTGCCCCCCTACGCCCCTCTGTGACGTGTGGCTTCAGTCGAAGTGCACATAGTGTTCGAGTGCGCAGGTGACAAGTGTGCAAACAAATTGAGAATTGGGACAGTACGGATTACGTCATCAACTTGCACCACTGCGTCGTAACTGCGACATCCAACATGGCTTTTTTAAACTGAGCCAATATGACAGAACAAAGACAGAAATAAACATACAAATGTTAACAACCATTTCACATTTCACCCATCAAATTTATTGTTCCATCAGTTGAACTTATTGAAATTCTATGATTTGGTTGATTATGATATTTTATCAGTCATGTATAGGGCTCATAAAAACACATCACCTTCAAACATTCAATTACATTTTACTAAAAGAGAAAGTTGTTATAATCTCAAAGGGATAAAGATGTTTATTAAACCCAAATTTAGAACCAGTTTAAAGGAGCGGAGTACTTCAGTCCAGGGTATAAGATTATGGAATAATCTGGAAGATGACATTAAAAATGCCAGATCAATGAGTATTTCAGAGAATGATAAAGAATAATTTGCTGGAGGAATATGTAAATGTATGAATTGTTGTTCAAGGACCTAAACCTTTGTATTTTTCTTTTCTTTTTTCATATAAACTAAAGATTATTTTTGATTGGATTTATTTATTTGAGAAAAAGGGGCAGATATAATAAGATTTTATCTTCTGCTACCTTTCATTTAATTTATGATTTGTATTTTTGTTGTTTGTTGAACTTATGTTGTTTTTAAATGAATAAACAAATTGAACTGAACTTAACTGAACTTTTAACATATGTTTTAATTATCTATTCTAATGATCTATTCTATTTAATTCCTCCTTGTTGTCAAATTATGAAAAGTTTAAGAGATCACATTAATATTAACTAAGTAAACCAACTGACACAGAAATCTTTAGTAAAAGTAAATCAAACAAAAATAAAAACAACATCAACAATAAATATTTAAGTGAAGGGAAAATAAATAAAAATAAAACAATAATAATGAAATAAAAATGGGTTTAAATC